TATATTTACTGGCAATAAATTCATTAATACTCAGTATTCATCACTCACGTAGATCATCCAGGCTGCGTAACGCTCTTTGAGGTTAAACAGCACAGCGGGCTCGTGCAGGAAGGTGAACATCGCCATGTCCTCAATTTTATCGTACTTTGGCGGGTTCTGGGGGTGAACATCGACGTCCTTCACAGTAATTGTCTGTTTAACAGAGAAAATGAATTAATGTTTTTAATAGCTTTATATGATTGATAATATCTTGTGTTCCATGTTGCTACTTTTATATAAATTGTATTATTACAATAAACTGAAGCCTTGGAAAAGCTAATTGATAACCAAGGCACCCTTACCTTTCCAAATTCTGTGTCAACAGTGACTTTGTCACCGTCTCTACTGGTGATGGAGGCTTTGACGTACTCAACCTCAGGGTCGGGCACAAAGCATTCTTTCTTCATGTCGAAGGGGCGAGTTTGGGCCTCCAGACGCTCCTTCTCTGACTTTCGTAAGAACGAAGCAGCTGACCCGAACTCTGCCATTACGGCGTCAGCCATTTTGAATTCTAAAAGTATAAAGCCTAATAATTATAATGTCCTTCTTTGACAAAAACTGCATTTAAGCACTCACAACAAATGTGACATGTAATCGGCATCCCAGTTACAATGCATTTCAGGACTGTAGACATATTTTTCAGGTAGATGCAAAACTTCTCACCTTGTGTTTGTCCAAACTCTGTACCCTAAAACTGCAGAGCTGGTGTTACGCTGAGGACAAAACAAGAGTCATTAGCGTTTGAGATCTCTGATGTGATTTTGCTCGTTACTGATCAGAAAAAATCCCTACACCGAAACTTGTAATGGAATTATCTTGGAAGAAGTGTCTGTGGTCTTTTTATATGCAGTTTCTTTGGTTCTTACCTTGGGGTGTCCTGTGTGTTGTGTCAATCCTGAGTTGATGCTACCTTTTTAAAGGGAGTCACTGATCCCAAAATGGTGGTTTGTCATGGATGCCCCACCCTTGTCCCGCTAAATAAACCTTCAAATGATTGGATGGCACAGGGTGTGCTACGGTAGTTGACATATATGGTGTGATGTAACAATAGTCTTCTGGAAGGAAGGACAAAAGAACACCCATGCTGCCTAAAAGATTCTTCAACACCATCCTAATCTGGAACTCCTTTTACAACGTTGTCTCAGGTCAACAAGAACAACAGTTGGCTATTTTGGAAACGTGAATATGTCATGGTATGTCATGAGAATTCGTATTGTCTTGCTCAGCCTCACCATTGTTTTTTTTTTATCTTTTTTTTTTCTCAGAAAGACAAACTTTGCAAAGAGCTGACATGCAATTCATCCAATTAATATTAAAGCTTAATGCATTGACTCAGATTTTAAAGTTTGTTCAGTTACTACTTTGGGACTTTATTCTCTTACATAAGACGTTAATCAATTCCATTTATCTAAAGTACCACTGTCCGCTAAAGGCAAATCATCCTTTTGTCAACATATAGTCTGCACACTTTTTGTGAGATATCAGGTTTAACTTATGCACACATTGTAGACGTTTTAATGTCATTGCTTTAGACCGTAGCCATATTAGCTGGAGGCAAAAAAAGAAGATGTGACAAATATCTCAGGTCTGTCTATAGACTGTGATAGACAGTCAACAGATGGTCTTCTGCTCGATTGTCACGGTCTGTACGGTTGGACCTCAACCTCTTGCTCTTCTTGTTGACATCCCATTGTTTTTCCTCTATCCTTGAGTACAAAGATAACCATACTGCATTTTTCTCAGCTTCTTTACAGTCACTGCTGAGGACAGCTGTATACGTGGGCCTCTGCCGTGTGAGGACTGCAGCAGCTGTTCTCAGTGCTGCAAATGTTGTGGTGTGAAGTACTGCATCTTTTATTAGGAACCTTGGGATCTTTTAATGTAAGGATTAAGATCAACATGTGATCCTTTCAACATCATCAGTATCTAATGATGTTGGAACATGCATACTTATGAATTATATACTCTCCTGTTGTTTTAGTCAGTTGTCAGGATCCTAAAATATCACATTCATAGCACCCTTCTATAGTGTTCACTTGACCCAATTGTCACTCTAGGCTTTGAAGGTCACAGCAGAGTATTGTTTTAAACCTTTTTGTTTTATTTTATTATCCACAAGGTTTCCTGACTTGCAAACCTACTTATTATAAAGTATATAAACATGGCAGACATAATGCAAAGATTTAACCATTAATAAGTAAAACTAAAGTAAAGGGAAAATAAATAAGATTAAATAAGGTGGCACGATTTGGGGAAAAAATCCAATTGCGACTTTTCTGATAAAATTGTGATTTAAAATACGATAAAAAAGGTTTGCTGTGCTTGTTTGTAGATGATATAATAATTATATATATATATATATATAATTATTTATATATTATATATAATAATTATTATAATTATTATAATAATTATTAATTATATATATATATTACATATAATAATTATTACTAAATAAAAATGTAAAAATTTGTAAATAAAAACAAAACAATAAATATCTATTTGAACAGTTCTCTTTGAAATAAAAATAGAGAATTTAAAAATTACAAATAATATTCTTTTTTTTTTTTGTATTACAACTGTATAATTACTAGGGGTGCACGATTCAGAAAATGTCACGATTCGATTCGATACCGATTTTTTGTCTCGAGATTCGATTCAAAATCGATTTTCGATTCAAAAACGATTCTCGATTCAAAAAACGATTCGCAGGTCTACATAAATGTAGTTTACTTTTTCCTATGTGATTGATTGCAGTAGACATAATTTAAAAGAAAAGTTTGATATTACTTTATATGTCTTCATACAAAAATAAAAAACTTTTGCAACTAAAAAGTGCGAAGTGCCAAGCTTTGGCCAGCTTTTAAATACATTTAATTCAAGTTTAAAATAAAACTGGTAACACTTTACAATAAGGTTCATTATTTAACATTAGTTAATGTATTTACTAACATGCACTAACCATGAGCAATACATTTGTTACTGCATTTGTTCATCTTTGTTAATGTTAGTTCATGAAAATACAGCTGTTCATTGTTTGTTCATGTTAGTTCAGGGTGCATTAACTAATGTTAACAAGATTTTAATCAAGTATTAGTAAATGTTGAAAATAACATTAACAAAGATTAACAAATGCTGTATATGTGCTATTCATTATTAGTTCATATTAACTAATGTAGTTAACTAATGTTAACTAACGAACCTTATTGTAAAGTGTTACCATAAAACTTAAATAAAAAGCTTTTACATTTAGCTTTAAAGTGCTATAGTCAGATCAAACAAACAATTATGCTAAATGTGGTTTAAGGAGTAGGCCTACTTCAGCTACCAGGTTGACTGTTGAAATGTGAACTCGACTGGGCACATTGAACTTCCTAAAAATATATACTAATTTCATAGAACCCTTGCGAAAATATTTTAAATAGATTTAAAAAAAGCCACCGCTACTGGTAACATGGTTATATTGATTTGTTTACATCCAGTGAAGTCGTTCATAGGCGCGTAATTTGCGGGTATCTCCAGTTAACTAGCAGAGCATTCATTTAGTTCGCTATTAAATAAGAGACCTGTTGTTTTTGAAATCAAGCTGAGCGCTCGTGTCCGCTGCAATCAGTGTCATGGATACAGTGTTCTCTGTGGCTCGCGCAGTCTTCTCTCAGACGCGCGCTTCAACCTATTGCCGTTGTGGAGACTCCGGTGAAATCACAAAATAAAATGCACACAAACGTGATGAACATATTCGGTTTTGATGAGAGAGAGAAAAAACTATACGATTGCGGTTTAGAACCCGTCACCTCTGACACGCTTGGCAAAAGATCTACAGAACTCAAACAGATCTGCGGATCGATGCATTTATTTACGGGTTGAGCAGAGTGGCTGCACAGTTTGACCAGCGGGCGGCAAGAACTTGCAATGACTATTTATCAGACCGGCCCTCGCAGCCTCGAAACCATAGAAACACTACCGGACCACCGGTAAAAGTCCCGACTCACCCGATTGCCACTCCGCCCCTGCACGCCATTAAAAAATATAGCCTATGAATCGATTTTTGGAATTCTATGAATCGATTCTGAATCGGTAAAGATTGAATCGCGATTCAAATGTGAATCGATTTTTTTGCACACCCCTAATAATTACACCGGTAACACAAATAAAATCAGCTGCTTGTGTGTGAGAACAATTAAATCACAGCATTTGTGATTTCATAATTGCACTAAGCCATATCTTGATTTTGGTTTTATGTCATCCAGCTAAAATTAAATGTTCTTAACCTGCACAAACTGCTGTTTCCAACTTGTGTATATTAAAAATATGGCAAACAACGTTGCGCATAAATCAGATAACATACAATCATATATCCTAATAATCAATAAACATTTGTATACCAATATTTAGGGATGTATAAGCTTTTCCCGACTGTTTGTTTTTCTTATTAACAAGTCTTGAAGGTCTTAACATCATAAAGCCAGTTGGACCCATTCATCACTAGGACTTTGGGGGGGATGATTATTTCTGGTTAGCATCTCAATGTTGGGTCAAGCAGATGTTTTTTCAAGGTTTTGAGTTTTTTTTTTTTTAAGAGAAATTATTTAGGGCATGTTGCTTACATGACTTTAGTGTTTAGCATGAGGGCCTAATTAAATCCTTCACACTGGATTAACGGGAGATCTGGAGAACCGTCACATCCTGGCTCTTTTCCTTTAGCTGCCAGGTCCATCTCTTGCTATGACGAGGTGGAACATTCCTATCCACTCTTCCCTGAGACGGAGGCGGTTCATTCTCAGCTGTTTAGGCCCTTTGTCGTCTCAGATCACCAACGGGTCAATAACTTGACCCATTGTACTTCATGACCATTGAGCAGGCTATTAATGGAGACTAAGGGGGGTCTGTTTGATTTACTTGGACAAGTGTCCAATGCACGTCACGTGATGCTTTTGCTCCTTTGATTGAGTTGCTCGTCATTTGTCCCTTATCTCTTGTTCGAGCCAGCGGGATCATGGAGACAGAGAATCAGAGAAAACAGGTATTAATATTTCCATGATCTATCTATCTATCTGATTTTCATTGTTCTTCACAATTAGGAAAATTGGCATGACTTTTGACCTCTGCTCTACAAATGTTTCTTTTTTCCTCACTCTCTTGACCCTGGGTTTTCTGCCCCCACTCAGCCACACATAAACCCTGTGCTCCCTGCTGGAGAAGATCCAACACATATCTGAAGCAAAGATGAAGGTAATGCTAAGCAATGCTTTTTCTTTTTGTTGTTTAGTTGCTCAGTGTTTTAATAGACAGGGAAAATTATTTAAGTTTCATATTTCATAAATACTGAATGAAACTGTTTAATAAACTAAAAACAACCACATGTTCATATTATGTGAGAACAATTGAAGTAGTAAAATTGCATAAATTAATCATTACTAAATATCTGTAATTTAATTTACATTGTCATTGGTTATGATTGTTAAATGACTGGATCATACTTCACACTAAAAAAGAACAATGTTTGCATTAAGAAATGTAGTCTTTAAATGTTTAAATTCCTAGTTACTTTCTGTAATATGAAAAATATTGCTGTAATATAGGAAAAGTTATTGAAAATGTAAAGTATGTTTTTAAAGTACAATCAAAATCTTTATCATTATAGTATCTGAACTGAATTTATTTTACACTGATGTATTCGGATATTATCCAGATGAAGTCTCCATTAGTTGAACTAATCATTTACAAAACATGACTATACATTTATAAATTATTAATATGTGACAATTAATACGATTTAGAAATGTTGTATGCTGTCCTAAATTGTATTGAATTGTAAATCATGAAATAATCAAACAGATCATTAGTATATGGTTAATTTTGAACTAATCATTTGTTTATTATTAACCATTTTTATTAAGACAATGATTCTAAAACAATTTGGTAAAAATGTATAATAAGTATTCAGCAATAAAGTACTTACAAATAATTTGCTATTAAACTATTAGTTTTTATTTTATTCATACTTATATATATACACATGTATTTTTGTATACCACATATGCCAATGTGTGTGTGTGTGTGTGTGTGTGTGTGTGTGTGTGTGTGTGTGTGTGTGTGTGTATTTAATGTATTTGTAAACATTTTAATGGCACAATGAATGACATTTTTCATGACCTAATCCAAAGTGAGATCTTTTTATTCTTCATTAACAATGAATGGAGAGCTCACTATGTACATAGCCATAACATTAAAATATTAACCATTTAGAGACTAAAATATATAAACTATAACATTAAAATATTAACCATTTAGAGACTAAAATATATAAACTATAGTTTGTTAATTTGTAACTACGTTATTACTGTATAGGCTACTTATAATAAAGTGTTACCAAATTGTTTTAGTATTGTTATCTCAATAAACACACCATTAGTAAATCATTAGTATATAATTTATTGATATATTGTGATTTGTGAAGTTGTAAGCTGGTCTGTGTTCAAAAGCATGACTTCTGGTCAAAGGATTCTAGTGGGTTATGTTAAATCCTTTCACTCATCAGCACAGACTTGTGTTCTGGTTGGAGAGTGTGCCATAATGTGAACCTGTTTTACCTTCCACTTAAGCTCACATGCAGGTGCACAGGGGTTAAGGACTTCATGTGTGTCAGGGAAGACAGCTGTCTTTACCCTCCCTAGTCAGCACTTAACATTGCAGTACAAACTACAGTGTTCAACACCTGGTATAGATTATGTGTAAATGCATGAATAAATCATAAGCTTTCTGCATGCACTGATCTAAATTGTAAACATTTATCATTTATAAATGTGTTAACTATCATTTGTAGATCTTTCTTACCTGTTACAAATTATGTGCATATGTAGGCTATACAAGTCTTTTACAACATGCTCGTGAATGCCGAATAAAAAATGATGCAGCAAACCGCCATTTTAACAATATCTTTTAAAAATGTATCACTTACCCATATCTTGCTCACTTTCCCCGCTTATTTTCCTTTTCTCTCCCCTAGATTGAAAGTGCCACCTCCTCTTCATTTTTAAACAACTCACACGACTGGCACGAGAAACTATATCAAACTTATTATTACCACTTATTACTGTCTGAACATCTGGTATAGGGCCCCCTGGTGGCCATGTTTTATATTTCTTAGGGTAGGGCCGGCACTGCCTGCATACTACATGTTTATGCTTTTGAACATAGACCAGCTTACAACTTCAAAATAAGTTTACAACAGTTTTTTTTTAATTCATATTAAAGGAATCGAGTCATTTTTTCATTACATAACTCCTGACACAAATTAATACTTAACTGTCACTATAAGTTTCTCAGAATAAAATAGTAGTCAAATACTGAAACTTAAGTCTTATATATTTTAATGATGTATAGTTTGTCAAGGTAATAAGATTAAATCTGAGTAACTTTGAAGAAGGCAATGTTTCTTGAGCACAATTCACACCAAGCGGTATTTCAGGGATTTATTTTTCCAAATGTGGCACGTGAAACATGGATTTGGTTTCCGACCTTTTACTATCATGTCAGTTGATTTAGATTAATAAGTGCGAGTGTATGGGAGTGAGCTTTTGGCTCGTTCTCACCGATACTAAATTTCTCTCACGAATGAATCCTTAACTTGAAATCAGTATGATAAACTTTATGCCTTTTACAAAAAAAGATTACACTTGAAATATTGTTGTTGATTTTACCTGTGAAAACTTTTTAATAAAATAGCAAAAAATATATTAGAAATATATAGATCTAGGTTAATATAAGCCTTCTCATAAAATTATTTATTATGTGTTTCATTAGTGACAAAATTGGGGGGAGAAAAAATATTCCATACCGTATAAACACCTTGTTTCTTGGTATTGTTGACCCTACTTAAAATGACAATTTAAGAATATTAGTTTGAATTAGATCTTACACTAGACTAGTCTGTGGCACATACATTCAGGCAACTGACTTACTGTTATGTTCAGGATTATGTTGGGATATTGCAATGTCTACATTGTTTTTAAAAAAAGGCAAAAGAGGATGAGGTATTCATTTTCATGTTTGGTTTATTCTACAGAGCTACAGAAGAGATTGTCACAGCAATCAATGTTTGAAGAGACCCATCTATTATTTTCACTCTTCATCAGCCCCCTTCTGTTGGGAAGAAAAGGAAAAACAAATTAAGTGTAAGCTGATCCTGTTCAAAACTAAACTACACCGCTAATCAATTTTGATGGTATTTTATTTTTGAATACACACTTAAATATCAAAATGCATTTCATTAAGTGTAGTTGTTGAAACTACTTGCTATTCATATCCTAAAGTCACTAAAAAGTGCTCATCTACTGTTACTATTTACTTGAGGTTTTTTAGAGTATGTGACCAAAATCACTTGTTTTAAGTGCCTACTCTTACTTTATTGGATCCAGTATCACGAGTCTTGGCTCTCAGCTTGTTGACCTGAGATTCAGCAATATCAGCCCTCTCCTCTGCCTCATCCAGCTCATGCTGTATCTTACGGAACTTGCCCAGATTGGCATTGGATTGTTCTTCCTGAAGATTACATACAACAGCATTTGTGAAAAAGATACAATTACTACAGAAGTCGTATCATTTGATGGCACCACTGGGGGAAATACTCACCGCAACCTCAGCAGATCTCTTGTAGGATTTGACCTTCAGCTGGAGTTTGTCCACCAGATCCTGCAGACGAGCCAGATTCTTTCGGTCTTCTTCAGTCTATGCAAAGCAAAAAATGTTTTTAGTGCAATATACTGTAAGAAAGTACTTTATGTATTTTCAACAAATAACATGAATTTTAATCAATCAGGGGCAAAATTTTTAGTAGGCAACATTTTTCCTACCTGGTAGGTGAGCTCCTTGATGCGTCTCTCATATTTACGAATCCCCTTGACTGAGTCACTGGCCTTTCTCTGTTCTATCTCCACCTCACTTTCCAGCTCTCTCACCTAACAGATGTGTAACAATTTTAGTATACAAATACATTTTTTTAGAATGAGCAATTTTATAAAAACAACTGAATACTTGTTTCTAAAAACTTACTCTGGCTTCCAGTTTCTGGACCTGCTTCTTGCCTCCCTTCATGGCGATCTGCTCAGCCTCATCCAGACGGTGCTGCAGGTCCTTGATGGTCTGCTCCATGTTCTTCTTCATGCGCTCCAGATGAGCACTGGTGTCCTGCTCCTTCTTCAGCTCCTCTGCCATCATGGCAGCATCAGTGATGGCCTTCTTGGCTTTTTCCTCGGCATTCCTGTTCTCCTGCACTGCCTCCTCAACCTCAGTCTGAAGCTGAGTATTATCCCCCTCCAGCTTCTTCTTCTGATTCAGCAGGCTGGTGTTCTGAACATGGACAATGTTGACATTGTCTTTTGATAACATTGTTTACTAAGAGGATTTATTTTGCATAGTATTAGTACAGATGTGTCATACCTGAGAATGTAGGAGCTGAACTCTCTCACTGACATCCAGCAGTTCCTGCTCAGCCAGTTTCCTTCCTCTCTCAGTTTGTTCCACCATGGATCTCAGCTCATCCAGTTCAGCCTGCTGCAGATTGTTGCGTCTCTCCACAATGGCGATGTTCTCTTTGAGATCATCATTACCACGAAGAGCTTCATCTAGTTGCAGTTGGGCATCCTGTAAAGTACAAGTTTTACAAATAAAAAGACTGAAGAACTATGTTGGATTTCACCAAAGCATCATAAAATCTTGATTTGAAGATTTGTCATACTTTGAGATGTCCATGAAGACCCTTGAGTTGCTTCTGGGCTTCTGATGCCTGTCTGTTAGCCTGGCTGAGCTGAATCTCCATCTCATTGAGGTCTCCCTCCATCTTCTTCTTCAGTCTGAGAGCTTCATTCCTGCTGCGAGTCTCTGATTCCAGTGAGCTTTGCAGGGTATCCACCACTCTCTGCTGGTTCCTCTTGGCCTGCTCCATCTCTTCATCTTTCTCCGTCAACTTACGTTCAATATCAGCTTTGACCTGATTGAACTCCAGCTGAGCTCTAAGTATCTTGCCTTCCTCATGTTCAAGGGAACCCTGTGAAGAGTAAAATGGGTGTTTGTTATAATTGAGATTTAATGTTTTTGTTTCGCCCTGTGTTTTGGGGTGGGAGTTGACCTCCTTTAAAATAATCTGGAATGATCAATTGCTTTAAACAAAAGCTTGATTTAAATCAAAGAGTTGTCAAATGAATAAGAACTTTGGGGGAAATGGTTGTTCTTTTACCTCAGCCTCTTCGAGAGCAGTTTGTATCTCTTGTTTCTCCTGCTCCAGTTGTTTTCGTAGTTTCTCCAGCTCATGAATATTCTTCCCACTCTCACCAAGTTGCTCAGTGAGGTCAGAAATTTCCTCTGGGCAATAGAAATAACATGTGAGCTCACAAATATAAGCAATTGAAGTTCATGGTTTGGAGTTGTAAAACCACTCTTACCTTGGAGATTCTTGTTTTCTCTCTTCATGCACTCCAGGTGGTCCAATGACTCCTCATACGAGTTTTTCAATTTAAAGAGTTCAGTGCTCAGAGATCTAGCTTCTTTTTGGGCACTTTCCAGTTCCGTTTGGGACTCCTCATACTTCTGCTTCCACTCAGCCAGGACCTGGTTAAATTTAACAGGCCCAATTAGTCATTGAGAGCAGTACAATTTGGTGATATTTTGTTTTGTAAATATATGGCTGATTTTTCCAGCTAATCGTAAAATGACACTTTCTCTCCTTACTTTATCAAAGTTTCTTTGCTTCTTGTCCAGAGCAGCAGCAGCAGCATTGGATCTCTCCACATCCACCATGAGATCTTCAATCTCATTCTGCAGCCTGTGCTTGGTCTTCTCCAGAGAGGAGCATTTAGCATTGACAGCTTCCACAGCTTCTTCTGCATCTTGCAGACGCTGAGTCAGCTTTTTCCTGTAGTAATCAAATTACAAAATATGGTAAACATCAGAAGCATCATTAATTAAAATGTATTTAAATGCGTTTTATAGGCCACAAACTATAGCATCAATTTTAGAAAAGTGTCTAATCACTAAAAACAAAACTTTTAATTGTTATTTGTGTCTTACTTGGCTTCCTCCAGCTCCTCAGTCCTCTGGATGGCATCAGTTTCATACTTGGTTCTCCACTGAGCCACTTCAGAGTTTGCCTTGGACATACCACGCTGTAGCTCAGCCTTGGCTTCTTGCTCCTCCTCATATTGCTCCCTCAGCAGATCAGCATCATGACGAGCAGACTGAACTGCATGGGCCAGGGCATTCTTAGCCTAAAGCCAAGCAAATGTTTGGGGCCAGTTGTTTATTACAATAGTGGATTTTAGCTACATTTTTAGACATTGAATGAGATTTTGAAAACCTTGACTTCTTCTTCGAGCTGTCTCTTGAGGTCTTCAATTTGTTGAGTGTTGGATTGTTTGCCTCTGGTTAACTGAGTCACCAGGGAGTCTTTCTCCTCAAATTGTCTGGCAAGTTCACCTAAAATACAATATTAAAAAATATTTACTTTTTCCAAATTATCTTTATGGTACAGTTGGAAACTTAACAATATTTTGTGTTCTTACCATTCTCAGTTTGCAGCTTGGCTTTTTGCATGGTGAAATCGTTGATTGTGCGCTGACCTTCCTCAGCCTTGGTTCTGTACTCACTCATCTGGTCTTCCAGAGTCCTGCACATTTTCTCCAAGTTTGTCTTGAGGATAAATGATATTGATTATATATAGTTGATTGACAACTGACAACTGACAACACACACATTATAGACTCACTCTAATTTCTCTTGCTCACCTTTGCCTTTGCAAGCTGCTCCATGTTGGAGACCACATCGTCCAGTTCCAGTCTGACTTCACTCTTCTCTTTCTCCAGCTTCTGCTTCACTCTCTGGAGGTTGTCAATCTGCTCCCCCAGATCAGCCACACTGTCTGCATGTTTCTTCCTCAGTGTAGCCGCAGTGGACTCATGTTGCAGAGTGGCCTCTTCAAGGTCTCTGCGCAGTTTCTGGAACTCAGCTTCACGTTTCTTGTTCATCTCAATCTGGGCAGCAGTGGCTCCACCAGCCTCCTCCAACCTCTCGCTGATCTCCTCCAGTTCTCTGGACAGATCAGCTCTCTGTTTCTCGACTTTGGCGCGAGCAGCTCTCTCAGCCTCCAGCTCTTCCTCAAGCTCTTCAATTCTGGCCTAAAAATGGAGTAAATTCAAAATTAAGGTTAAAATTCCTAACTAATCTATCTTATTAAGATATATATATATATATAAAGTTTACCTGCAACTCTTTCAGTTTTTTCTGGAGTTGGGACTCCAAAGCTTGTCCATCTTCAATCTTGCTATTGAGCTGGCTTATTTCAAAGTCTTTTCTGCCAAGTAAACAGGATGACACATGAATGAATACATGCATAATTTAATTAAAATATCAGGTAACACTTTACTAAAGGATTCCATTAGCTAACGTTAGATTATGAATTGAACACCATTAACTAACAATGAACATTAAATTTGTTACAGTATTTATTAAACTTTGTGAGCAATAATTAATAAAAAATAAACTTTTCATTGTTAGTTTGCTATTAGCTCAGGCCCATTTAATAATATTAACATTTTAATATTAAAATTGAATTTTTTTAAACATATATTAAACATATATATATTACTTCTTTAGTCGCTCTTCCGCCTGCTGCTTATCATTTTCCAAATCCATCACATTCTCTTGAGTCAACTTCAAGTCCCCCTCAAGCTTTCTTTTAGCTCTCTCAAGATCCATGCGGATTTTCTTTTCTTGTTCCAGAGAACCTTCAAGCTAAATTTCATCCAAAAAAATAATTTCGCAAATACTTTATAAAGCTTCTCGTTTTAATTCTAGTGTTGGGTTTCTGGTTCTTACATCATCCACTTGTTGCTCCAGTTTGGTTTTGGCTTTGGTGAGTGTGTTGACTTTGTCTTCCTCACTCTGGAGGTCATCCAGCGTTTGCTGATGGGCCTCCTGAAGAGCTTTCTTCTCCTTGGTCAGCTTAGCGATGATTTCATCCAAAGCTGCCATCTCTTCTGTCAGGTTTTTAACCTGTAGAAATGTGTTATTGCATCAACAGACACTTAACATACAATTCTAACATCATTAACAGGTTCAATGCTGAAAACTGACCTTATTCTCAGTGGCA